TGTGGCTGAGGGAGTAGAGTGGCAGAATAGTGGACGTCCTGACTCCGATAGGGTAACTGCTGAGGGAGAGGAAGTCAGTCCAGTGAGGAGAAGGTAAATGTCACTTTGATTTTCCTGCTGTTGTGTGTCACAGACGTAATGCTCCTCAGACTTTCTTCGTCTTTTTATTCCTACTAAAAGAACAGTTAGACATAATTTAACATCTGTCTACATCTGTTTCTGTCTGTTTGAAGAATAATGGGATGTGCCTCCCTCTCTGTTTAACTCTCAGGTTTTGTTTTTTTTTAATTCACCTTTAATTCATTTCAGCTGACAGGCTATAAATGACCTTAATAATGCATGATAATAAACTGGCTCATTGGAGAACTTTACAGGAAATAATGCAGTGAAAGAATTTAAAACAAAATGAGATAACTTCAGAGTATTGTTTATCTTTTTTTTTTGTTTAAATGTGTTTTGGTAACTTGTCTCTTTGAGGCTGCAGGTCTGCATGTTATCTGGGTGTTTTGGGAGAGCACAGATAGGCTGCATGTTGGGCGGGTGTTGCAGCTGCAGACAGACTTTTGTTTGTTCCCTGATCTCATCATAAATGTGTTGCAAGACGAAACCTGAGGAAAAGCAAAGCTTAAATTGTCTTAAAGCTGTTGCAATAGGTCCGACTTTGGAAAAAGTACAGTAGATCCACTTTGAAAAGCTGAGAGTGGCATGTGGTGATTTGCAGTAAGTAAAGATGGGACTGAGGCTCAGTGCTGACTTCTGTGGGTTTCCTCAGACTGGTTGTGTGAGAGTGATACCCAGATGATTGCTACTTCATTCCAGCTACTTTATTTCAATTATTGGAGGTGAGCCGAGTGTGTGGTTCCTCCGGCTGCAGTAATGGAAAATGAGCTGCCAGGTTTTGTCGTCTCTCTTCCACATGGAGAGATGGTGGAAGACCCTCAGAGTCTGACCTCACCAATGATTGGGACTGATGAATTTAACTTTCATGGAAAAATGGAGCATTAAAACTCCGATGTGTTGTTAAACTCTACTCTCTGAACTGATGGTGGAGGAGGTGTGTAACCTCAGCCCTGGCTCAGCCTCTGCCTCATTGTTGTTGTTTTTTTTTTTGAGGGTTCAGAGGAGTCCAGATGGCCCACGCCTCGCTGTGGTCACGAGAGAGGACAGTTGTTTTTGTGTTTATGAGTTTTAGATATTGCAATTATAGCTCAACACAAAGAGGCCTCCTGAGGCCAGATTGGGGCAAGTGGTTAGGACGAGCGTCGGAGTGGGACGGCATCGGTGTTCCACTCTGTCAGGTCCCCCGAACGTTGGGGCCAGGGCGAAGCCGCTAATGACAGCTCGGTGGCTGGCAGCAGGTCCCACGTTCTGGTCTGCGTCTCCAGTTCAACTTTATCTTCCCTTTTTTCCCTCTGCCTCACTGTCTGTGAGAAATATGTTCCCTGTGGTTTGGTGGGAGCTGTGAAATGACGGCTGTCTGTCTGACTTCTGGTGGAAGCTGCACAGTGAGAGGAGCAACGGGTGAGGAAAGACTCGTTCTCTCTAATTGTCTTTATGGCTCAAACACAATTATCTCCTGGTGACTCTTTGAGTGACTCCTCTAAAGAAGTGTCCTCAGTGTGTGACCTCCTCACATTATAACACTGTAGTGCCTCCAGTCTTTAGTGCTGACTGGCTGTGTCCTCATCAGACACTGGGATCACTCATTAAAGCAGCATTCCACAAACGTTTTCGCTTTCCCCTGCGGTCTCCAAGACTGCATCAGCAACATTAACCATTGTCTTGAAAAGCTGAAATGGCATTTTTGTACCCTTAAATCTGTGCTGCCCCTTTTTTCTACTCATGGAAAGATGGTGTCAGTGTGAATCAGGAACTTACTTGCTTAGTCTTCCCTGTCCCTTGAGGGACATAAGGCATCAGCTACCTGCCTTAATCTGGGTCTGTCTGGCAACGTGTTGGGCCTGTCCCCATGTCAGACCCAGTTCTCTCAGCTCGGTCGTCACTGTTCGCCGCTATGCTGTTTTGGGCCGACCTTGTTTGCATTTTCCAGGCGGTGTCATCTTAGGGCGATTTTTGGTCTGAGGACATGCCCATGACATTGTATATGCCCGTGTCTGATCTCTAGCACCACACTCTGGCTTTGATAGTGGGTATACATAAGTTTTTTTTAAACTTGCTTAAGCCGCTAAAAAGTCGATTGACTGAAAAAAGGAGTCAAACCTTTCCTATTGCCAGTAGAGGAGTTTGACATCACAAATGCACTAAAAACTCAGGTGCTCTCTTTCACCTTGCGGTCGTGGGTGTCACTTTTCCATCACTGCCACCAGAGCCAACAAAAACCCACGTCTACTCATTTCTCATTTGACCCAGAGTGATGCTGATTGTACTGTATTTACTCCTGAGGCATCAGGGAAGAACCCATCAAGTTTAGTTACGGATCCGGAACATTGTGAGATAAAGCATTTTTGACCTTTCACTGATTCCCAGAGATTCATTCATTCATGGATCTTGATGGGAAAAACAGGGACAATATAAAGCACCTTATCTGACATATTTAGTTTTTGTATTCTCTAACTTGCCTTTTAGCAAACCTTTTGTCTCTTTGACAGCTTTAGCAAAACAACTTACCTTATATTATTAAGTAAATATTTTGGCAGGTTTAATCATCTGTCTTTGTTAACCCGAGCAGTTTCACCTTTTCCTTTTTGAGCTGCCATCTCCCGCGACAGTGTCTGATTACATTTTCTCCTCGGTGATTGAGCCTCTTTGCCCTGTAATCTGCTCAAGGTGGGGAAGGTCACAGTCAGTGGAGCAGAAGGCCTTGTCTCATTTTACACCTCTGCCTCTCGCTTGTGTTTAAAGTTGGAACGGGCTTTGTGTTTGGTCTCCACCTTGACTCTCTGCCTCTCTCTGATCACACACTGCATTGATTAGAAGCCTTTAAAACACAAAGACACAAAGGTGCGATTTATAAGATTTCAACACTGCTGTTGACAACTGTACCAGTCTCCTGTTAAGTCACCTTGTGTACCCATGGATAACTGATTGTGTTTGTGTGCTTTCTTTGCTCACTTGAGAGATTGTGAATGTGTATTCAGAAGCTTTTGCAGTAATGTCAGGCTGTAAATCTGGTCTACATATTATTATATTTTCAGTATGTAAGGCCATGACCTGTTTGTTTTTCCAGGATCCACCCAAACGTGTGCTGGTCTATTCTTAACCCAGATGCCTCTTGTGAAACACCTTTAAGCAGATTATGTGCCGTGATACGGTTACAGAATGATGCATACCACTTTAAACTCCACTTGAGTTTTTTGCCCTTTAATAGAAAAGTTTCTTAGTCCTCAGGGTGTTGTGGATTAAGAATATGTGGAGGAGTGATTTAAAGAGTGTGTGCACACGTGCTCGGAGGAGACTTATTTGTGCAGCTGATTCTCCTGTGGAGTAGCTCAAGGTCAGACACCAGAGGCCCAATAGCAGCTCTTCATCTTTCCCTCTCTGTCCTCCCCCTCCGCACCTCACTCGTTTCCTCTCCATATGCCAAAATACTGCTGCCTGTCCTCTGAGGTCTCCTTCCTGCTGTGACTTTCCCATATCAGAGCAGAGTGGCACCAAGATGCTGCAGAAAAGCTTCTTTTTTACTGCATAGGAATGAAACGTTTATCAGTTACAAAGTATATGCGAGAAAGTTTCCGTTAATTGTACCGTTTCAGTTATTTAATCACCGTAATTACCATGGTGGACCAAAGTTAGCGGTTCTCCAAGATAAAGGCGCAGCAAGCAACAAGCATTTGTTGTAAAAATGTGGAGGAAGGAGCAGCAGGTGGTGTCAGAGCTTAACATTTATTCCAGTTATCAGTAGTTGACATTTAATTTGCCATCATTATGATATTCTGAAATGACTTCTTCGGCAAGCTAAAGCCTTCCTCCTTCACCTCAGATCATGAATGAAGGATATAACAGCATTGAGCCATTTGTTGAATCTACATGTTTGCTCCTCTGACTGCCAGGGCGTCTCTCTCGGACATATACAATGACAAATAAAACAGATCTTTACTTTGCCAGCTGGCCAAACGTGTTGCTCATCATGGCTGGAGCATTTGACCTCAACCTCCTACAAAAAAACTTTTGTTATCACCATCTGTCCTCAAACAGATGATCAGAGAAGTGATTTTTATTCTGGACAAATGGGCTGACAGTAGTAACTGGATGCTGTCCTAAGAAATAGCTGAAGACATTTGTGATCTGAGAGAAGAAAGGCGAAAGTATAAAATGAAATAAAATAGGCCAGGAAATAGAAAATTAACAATACAATAAAAAAACTGAGAATATATACAGAAATATGATAATATGTGCATGATATACAAAATATACTGAACTTGAAATGCACTCAGCATGTGTGATTTTTGTCTGGTTTTTTTTTCCTCACAGGAGACGGAGAATCACAGTGATCGAGACCGTGTCAGATCTCAGATCCGGGAGTTGCAGCACAGCCAGCAGACGCAACAAAGCAGAGAGTTGCAAAGAACAGGTGAGAAACACTCACTCACCACCAAACTGCGCAGGACTTCTCCTGGAGCAGTTGTTCCATCTTTCGACTGGCTGCGTTAATACTTGTGTTAATGTGATGTGTCTGCAGGATAAACACGTGACATTTAGAGCATGTTTGGACATGCTACTCTTTCTGGGTCATTGAATAACAAAAGCTTGTATACACTGTAAACAGTCGCCTAAAGATTTAATCTGGGTAAGCAGCACTGCAGACGTGAAGCCAACACTGACCACCTCTGTTACGTGTACCTGCTCCTGCTTACATCGGTCTTGATGCAATTTCCTTCCCACTGCCTGTTAAAATATTCAGCCTAAAGAAGCCATTCTCCCGAGGTGGCGGTCAAGAGGTCATATTAGTTCAGACTCTTTGAGCTCCTTCATCTGACTTTATTAACTGTTTGGAGTCACTTACAGACATAGGCTTAATGACTTTGGCTTCTTAAGTGTGAGGTAATTTCATTAACCGCTCTGTTACACCAACCATTAATAAAGTAGCATGAATGCAGTCCTTCAGTAGCGAATGAATGTGCTTCCTTCACCTGAATCCTTGAAGCTTTGCAGGCGCATGAACCAGAGCTGATGATGAACGGCTTGTAAAATGACAAACGTGCATTGTTGATGGGTCATAAATGTCGTGACAGAAATTTGTAACATTTCAAACACCTCAAGTGTTAACTGGACAATCCCCTTCATCTACGACACACAATTGAACGTATAAAACATTGTAGCTAAGCTTAGACCAGGCTGACCTCGAGAGGCCATGATAATGCCATTCTGTGTGGCCTGGTTTTACCCTGGACTGTTGGCGTTGGGGTTATGGGAAGCAACGGAGGGAAACCTAACAGCCACACCTCTGCTAAATAAAGCTGATACCAGAACAGAGCTGAGGCTGGTTTGACGTGGCACACAAACTTCCCAGTGTTCCTGATTTATCCCTGCTTTACAATTTAAACCAGGGTGAAGCTGGGGTGAACAGAAAAAGACCACCGAAGAAAAGCATAGGAGGACACGAATTGAGCAAGACACAGGACGTTTGTGGTCGGGAGAGGACAGTGTAGCCGGGGTGGGCCCGTGGTTCATGTGTTTTTCAGCAGAGTGAAAGTAGCAGAAAATTGAAGTTTAACTTGGATGATTGTAGCTGGATGTTCTTGGTCTTTGAACGTGAGACAAACACGTGCCTCTACCTCTTGGACAAAAAAGGCTCACATTTACATTCTTTACCTCAATGACCGTACGTCCAGCTGTACAGGATTCTTGTGCAAACTGTAGCAGGTAAGGCTATGATTTAGGAAATGAAATGTTTGCAGAGACTCTCAGTGGAATGTGCTACGCGCCTCAAGTTCCCATAACAGAATCTTGCTCGAGTTGGAGAATAATACAAATTCAAAATTCACACAGGTCCGAGCACAAGAGCATCTTATGAATTACCATTAATATCAGGCCGCTTGTCATGCATATAAATCAGAACACCCTGGTGTGCAGCTGTAGCACTATTCAGCTGCATGAGACCTTTTATTGTCCCAGTGAAAATGTAAAATCTAATTACTCAACCACTCTCCACTGATGTCATTAGATAAATAAATATTTCATATTAACCCTTAGGATGTATAACAATAACTTGTAGAAAGTATACCGCCACCAAGGCCCAACAGTCTCCTTAAATTCTAGAACCAAATCCTTCATGTTCATTTAGACGGATTCTAAATCTTTTGAAGATATAATGCAATTGTTGATGCCCCTCTGAATGCATATAGTCTCAGATACACATTGGTAGTCCAGGTTTCTAGCCCTGTTTGTTTGAACACCCCCTACGAAAAACAACTTTTAAATCCGCTAGATCCAGATTTTGTTTGGATCTGCACCAGGTTGCACACAAGCATAGATATCAGTCCTGTAAAAATACCTAATTTTTATTTTATTTTTAGAGATTCATGAATTATTCTCTGACACTTTGGTGAACACGTCCAAAAAAACTGCCCTATCGAAAGCAAAATATATATTTGTATCATGATGTGGATCCAGACCAAAATTTATTGGGTTCTTTATTGACCCATGTCCCATCCTTCCACCCAGTTTTGTGGTAATCTACTTTGGTCAAGTTGGTAAAACCTGTGTTGATCCGTTGGCAGTGAGATCAAACATGTGCTTTTTTTGGTCACCCTTGTCCTTTGTTTGTTCTCTATATATTAACTGGCAGCAGAGTGCACAAGTTCAGCATTTGTTTCTATTCTGGAGCCAAAAGCAAACCTCTCATTATAGTCCAGCAGCAGTGGGGGATTTTCCCAGAAATTGCTACACAATGGACATTACAGTTGGTGAATGGCAAAGAAAAAAGATATGAACAATAACATGAGAGTTTGTAGGAGAAGCAGTGTTTTGCTCTCGCTTCAGTTACAGTTGACCAGTAATTGAGTTTGGGTTGAGTGCATCATTAGACGTAGACGCTGCTGCTGCTGCTGCTGCTGCTAGTGAACCATTCAGTGTCACATGTGAGACACATAGTAGCTGTTGTGTCTCTTAATCACGTTTCCATTCAGACCATATTTCATAATCATCTTGGTCTGTTTAATCAACAACCCGCTGCCATATTTAAATTGATTGTGCACAATTTGGCAAGTTTTTGGGGAGGTGTGCACGATAACAAATAAAAAAAACAAACACCAAGAAAAGATCAGCTGCTTTAAATGAAGCTGAGAATGTGTAACCTTCAGCTCAGAGTTGAAAGAGTTTGCTGTGGCTGCCGCTCAGACGGGAGTTTCTCTTTGATTTGGTTTGTAAGTGAGAGCCATGCACACTTGGTGAACCTCCGCTTGGTTTCAGAGTACGAGTTGGTGCAGACATGGGTCATACAGACGTGCTTTCATGCGTCTGTGTCTCCACGTGTTATGTGGGAATCTGATAAACTTCTCTGATTTCGTTATCTGTGCTGCATACAGAGTCTCAGATATATCGTTCACTAGATGCACCATGGGGAGCTGGAGGTAGAGAGGATCGCAGACAGAGAATGTGGGCACCGCTGTGTTGTTTGGAGTGTGGTTTCCTGGGGTGAGAAGTAGTAGTTAAGGAGCTCGGACAGAGGGGAAAGGGAAGTACTTCTCTTGGTCTCTATTTCACCCCATTTCCTCCTTGACTCCTTGTACTCAGTCTCCATGACTATGGCTACACCGCATGGCCATTCCTCCTCCTGTATGCACACCCACCAACACAATCTCAGTGATCTCGCTCAGGAACTGAGGCCAGTCTAGAGGAAATGCCTACATCCTCTCAAGTCTCCACGTGCCTGCTCCGTGATCCCAAGTGATTTTTTTCTGGCCCCAGCCTCTCATGGGGCCCTAGAGCCGCGGAAGTATTTCATTTAAATCGTTTCAGTCTCTGACTTCACGTCCTCCCACGTACATTCTTGTCACTTTAGTTTACTACCCATGTAAGATGAAGAATCAGTTTTTATGATTTCAGAAAAGGCACGTGGTACAGGGAGGTATTCACTGCTCATCTTTCATTGATGTTTTCTGTTGCAGGCTCCAACTCAGGCATGGTGTTGGTTCTCGATCACCTGGTGAAGGATGATGGCCCTGGACCTCTGCTGATCCAGCCTCAGAGAGAGACTATGACTGCAGAGCCCGACCTGGTTCTGTCTCACCGTCAGAGGTCAGACTCCTCGGCTTCAGATCGCAGCGTGGCCTCGGTGCTGTCCAGGTCCAATCAGGATTCTGTGGCCTCAGAGAACAGTCTGGGCTCAGCCTACAGAGTCCGGCTGGACTCTGGAGCCTCCGACAGGAGCCTGGGTTCCTCCCAGCGTGCTCGGCTGGACTCTGGGGCATCGGAGCAAAGTGTCAGCTCCCTGTCCTATGTCAGACAGAGACTTGGCTCAGATGTCTCCGACTCTGGCGTCCGACCCCGTCTGGGTTCTGGGGCTTCTGATAGTATTGGTCCTTTGTCAAGGGAACGGACTGACTCGAGGACGTCTGACCTAAGTGTGAGTATGTCATCTGAGGAGAGGGGTCCAGGGGAGGAAGTGGAGGTAGCCATGAGTGGTTCAACTTACAGCACAGATTCAGAAAGCGAGAGCAGAAGCCAGGAACCTGACAGCCTCGACGCTAAGTCCAGCCAGGATAGCAACAATGATGAGGATCAGCCTGATGGGGCCATTTTATCTCGGAGCAGTCCTGCGAATGGACTCCTCAGTGACAGCATGAAGGGGCTGAACAGCTTCCAGAAACAAGAGGTAAGAGTATGCTGTCCTTGTATGAGATGAATGTAGATTTGAGTCTAGAGCACACTATATCTCAGGACACTCAGAGCTAGCTGAGTGACAACGATACACAACTACACCACTAGAGCGTGGTGTTGAGCTACACATCCCCAGTCACGTGCAGCAACAGTCCATGTGCTCCCCCTTTTTTTTCCACCTCATAATCCCTGACAAGGAAACCCCGTCACTCCATTCTTCAGTGACACACAGGTCACATCAGCATCCACAAACTCACCATGCTCAGCTCCTGTTTGGAGCTGTTTAACTTTTGTTACTTGGCTACACAAACAAACTGCTTCACCTCAGCGGCATGACAACCTCACCTGTTGTCAGAGAGGGATAGGCAGCATTACGGGCCAGAGGGTCTGTCTGTACTCAACCCCCCCCAAACGCACAAAGCAGCCCTCTCTGTGCTGACTGTCAACTGTTTTGGGGGGTGAGGGTGGGGGGGCTCATGTTCATCATGACGGCATCCTGACGCTCATCTAAATGTGTTTACCCAAGGCAGGCCCTGGACTTCTTTTATTGTTCCCTGCAAGATACGTGGATGCTCAGTCTCCTGAGAGTAATGTAAACACTCTGGGGCCCATCACAGCCCCAGCTGCCAAAAAAAGAACAGAGGCCACTGCTTCACTCTATACACAAATGTTACATAATGAAAACACCAATGGCCAGTTCTGTATTTAGGATTGTGTGTGTGTGTGTGTGTGTGTGTGTGTGTGTGTGTGTGTGTGTGTGTGTGTGTGTGTGTGTGTGTGTGTGTGTGTGTGTGTGTGTGTGT